ACCCTGCCCGTGAGCAATCTCCCAACTCATCTCTGCCTAAAGTCCCGTCTCAGACTAGGGGGGGGGGGGCAAGCTGTCGCAGCGAAAAGGAGGGATAGGACGGCATATTGTTGTGCTAATTTTTCCAATCAAGGTTGGAAATTTCTCATTTTTCGAGATTTTTAACGTATATTACGTAAACAAAGTATGTACACTACCGTAAAAAATATAATGAAACTAGTAAATTACGTTTCCAACATGAAGGATTCCGCAGATGTCGGTATACGGCATCCGCTAGATTATAAACGTTTTTTAGCACACATGTAAACACGTACTTGCATTCAAAATTATTTGGAATTCTACGTTTCCATCCAGGCGAATGCCGCAGATGCATGGTATATGTATCCGATAGGTTATAAATGTTTTTTAGAGTCGATGTAAACACGTGGACATTTGTAAAGACTAATAACAGAAATGAGTTGGGAGATTGCTCACGGGATGGGTGAAGTGAGCGCGATCTGTGCTGTCCTCGGTGGAGAATGCGGGCGGCTCACGCACTCGCCATCTGATCGCTCCAATGGCGTCCCAATTCAGGGATCCTCTTTATCTCTGCTCTCAACTCATCTCTGTGATAAGAAACATCCTGTAACATCTTTTAACATGTTTTACCAACAAGTTCAGCAAGCTCTGCGGCGATGACCTATCCATGATGATTTGAAAAAAAATGGATTTGATAAGTGATCCACCTAAACCTGGAAAAGGGCACAAAAGGACAGGCATAACTGAACATTAAAAAAAATCCAGAAAGTCTGAGAATGGGCGGCGAATAACTTACTAAATGTCAAGAATATTAATGGTATGCGCGCGCGCGCGCGCGCGCGCACACACACACACACACACACACACACACACACACACACACACACACACACACACACACACACGCACACGCACACGCACACGCACACGCACACGCACGCACGCACACACACACACACACACACACACACACACACACATACAGTAAAAATTATTTCCTTCGTTTCAGTACTTGTCGTTGAATTATTTCTTGTAGTGTAGTACTTATCATAATTTCTGTTATGCTATTTAATAAAAAGAAATCTGTATGTATATTGTGACGTGATATATTTTTGCCACCTCACGGCGACCCCAAATTTCGGTCGACGTCTGCTTTTTGCGTTCTTTCTTTACAGGCTACTAGGTCCGACGGTCACCGACCCGAGGGAGAGGGAAAACCAGCCTAATTGTTAATTAATTTAAGTTGAGTACTTTGTTGCAATATAATTTAGCGATCCACGGGTATCTCCCAATTTCCTGTAAAGAATCATCCATTTAACTTTTGAGTTCCCGGGCGTGCTATCGAGCACTCGCAGGAATATTCGAAAGGAATATTTGGCAAGGTGTTCGAGAGCTCGCCCAAATTTCTGTAACGCGTAGCGAGGCTCTGATCGTCAGGACGGAATGTCAACACCGGCGACCTCTGGTAGGTCGCGCGCGCGCGCGCGCTACCGGTCATCCCCCGGCCTGAAGAAGGAAGCCGTCGACGAAGCCTCGGCGGCCAGGCCTGTGTGTGTACATATGAATCATGTTTCTATGTGAAGGACGAGAATATATTTCGTTTGGGACTTCTTCGGGCAGTACCTCGCCGTACATTGCCGGACATAGAGGAGCATCGCTGGACGTTGCAGGACGTCGCCTGGCGCGTTTTCTAACCGCTGGTTTAGCGGTGCATAGCCGATCGTATTTTATCCCGCCGAAAAGTAAAAGTGGTAACGGACATGGCACGCGCAAAATCGCAAAGCGAGCCGAGGCGGTCGGCGAGCCGGCCGACTCTACCTGTTCGCCGAACAGTAAGAAACAACTTCTACCCGCCGACTCAGAATCCGTTGACAAGCCTAAAGCGGTTAGGTTTCCTAGGGAAGCAAAAAGCAGAATGCCGGAATCCCTAGCGGAGTCCCCAATGGACATCAAAAGAGCTGTGAGCAGGCTTTGCGTTCGTCACCTTGCCTTTGGGTTTACTCTTTTTTTGCTCCACACTTTCCACCTTTTTGGCAGCAGCACCTTTTCCTTTAACCGTTTTCTTTTCATCTATTGATACTGGATGAAGCGGCAGAAGGCTAAGGGTAAAGTTGCCGAAGCTACCATGGAAGCCGAGGGTATTGAAACTACTTCTGATGTCGAAGTCTCCCATGATAATGAAAAAGGTATATTATTACTGTTGTTTTTGTTTATGGTATTAAGCCTTATATCTTTAGAAAACTGATACAGTTATGTTCGCTTTATTATGAATGCTAGATATCGTATGTTGATAGATATTCAGAGCCACATGAACTGATTATCTTTGTATTTCTTTCTTATTGGTGAAGTCAAAAGAAGGGACAAAAGGGAAAAAGCTAAAAATGGCAACGTTAAACCAGTATCAATGGATGAAAAGAAAACGGTTAAAGGAAAAGGTGCTGCTGCCAAAAAGGTGGAAAGTGTGGAGCAAAAAAAGAGTAAACTCAAAGGTAAGGTGATGAACGCAAAGCCTGCTCACAGCTCTTTTGATGTCCATTGGGGACTCCGCTAGGGATTCCGGCATTCTGCTTTTTGCTTCCCTAGGAAACCTAACCGCTTTAGGCTTGTCAACGGATTTTGAGTCGGCGGGTAGAAGTTGTTTCTTACTGTTCGGCGAATGAGTAGAGTCGGCTGGCTCGTCGACCGCCTCGGTTCGCTTTGCGATTTTGTGCGTGCCATATTCATTACCACTTTTACTTTTCGGCGGGATAAAATACGATCGGCTACGCACCGCTAAACCAGCAGTTAGAAAACGCGCCAGGCGACGTCCTGCAACGTCCGGCGATGTTCCTCGATGTCCGGCGAGGTACACGGGGCTCCGTCGATGGTTTCCTCCTGGTCCGCTCTGCCCTCTCCGGTCGTGTAGCGTACTAGCGGCAGGAGCAGCGCGGTTTGTTAAATGATAATGTACCGAATTTTTAAAAATGATATAATAAAACATGTTTTATTAAATGTTAACAAGTTTCTTAGCGATTCAATTGTTCCATCCACTGAACCGAAGTTAGAATATTATCTTAGCTTAAAAAAAATAGTTTCTAAATATATATACAGTGGAATGTCGTAGGACAATTTACTATGCATCAACTTTCGGACATAGAAACGAAATCGTGATTTTATGTTTCTTATATATTAACGTTCTACACCATTCTTCGTATTCCTCAAATTGGTTTCAATTTTAGATAAGTGATAAATATCCTTGAATACCATTAAGAAGCAATTTATAGGATGAACCATAGTTTTGATATCATTTTTTCTGTAGATGCCTCAATAGACTCCAAGTTGAGGGTTAATAAGTCCAAAAAATTAGAAATATTAGGTCGACACTCAAGAAACAAGTTTTTTTTTTCCCAATAGAAAATACAATCTGCTATTAGGAACACCATGTGCAACCCTCATCAAACAGATGTCTTCTCGTATTTTTTAGTAACTCACGCTGAAAAAAAAGGAGAGTAAATTCATCTAATTTTCTGAGTTAAATGTGGCGAACTCAATAAACTCGTTGACTCAATTTAGATTTGGAGCTATTAATTCTGTTTCAGTTAAGTTTGGAGTTGATTCAACTACAAAATGTGATTTTGCACTAAATGTAAGTTGAACCAACTCGCTTATTGAGTTCGCCATAATTAACTCAGAAAATGGGTTGAATTTACTCATTTTTTTCCCCGCGCAGAAGTAAAACAACATAATTAGAAATTCATGAAAGAAAACATAAATGCTAGTCTTTGTGAATGTCTTAAAATACTTTTTATTCTTCTTAAAAATAAGAAGCCAATATAAAACTGTATAAATTTCTTTAATATCTGTCAAAGTTATTTGGTCGCGTTTTTCTCGCTCGAGTGCAGTCTGAAAGATTTCATGGGTGTCATTTTTATACACTCGATGGCCAATCTGCTTGACGTAGTTTCTAACCATCTTTTTCCGATTCGCCCCGACTAATACACTGAAAAGGAAATCAATTGCTAGAAAATTGATGGTTTAATTTTTCTCAACCTGACCTCAAATACATTACTGTAAAATGTAGTTAAAAGATTGAAGTATGCACGAATTGAACGAATAACGCTAGAAAACCATAATATAAAAAATAAGTTTATGAAGCAATGAGAAAACCATAGGATTGCTCGTTAATTTAAAAATTTGATTACATGAACACATTGAAAATAATTTTCATGAATTGTTTTTGTTTATAAATATTAATTTTCTTTAGGAAATCCATTCTGCCCCTCGAGCGATTCGAATTCCGCGCTGCTCCCGCCGCTAGTACGATGCGCGGCCGGAGAGAGCAGAGCGGACCAGGAGGAAACCATCGATGGAGTCCAGTGTACACTTTTCGTAAAACTGTAGAAAGTGTAGATAAAACGAACAAACCTCATATATCTAGACATCTAGACCTCGCATTGGACCTCCCACTCTCAGGTTTCGAGTAAGCAGAATGGATTTAACTGTGTGGGTGAGTTGTCGGGACACGTGGTATGTACATTCGTTTACCCCTTCCACTGCTATGCGAGATCTAGATATTTATGGTTTAAGACTTCGGCTGCGCGTCGCCTCGTTGGTCAACTTTAACTACTAATATATAATAACATAATAATAAAATAACTCCATGAAAAATATTTTGAGCCAAAAATGGAAAAGGAACTTCTAGTTTAAAATGTCACCCTCTTTCACCTTTTGAGAGGTTTACTATCTATTATGGGACACCCTGTATATATTTCAGAAGTGTCGTATCAGTGGATACTTTACATCATGATGAAGCAGGGCGTTAGTAGCGCATGCGCGTTCCAATATTCTTTCTACAAAAAAAAAAGAGGTACATTCAAATACAAAATAGGTATTGTTCAATCAATTAAGATGGTAGTTAGCAAAATAAAATAATTATAAAAACGAATAAAAATGGTCATTCATTTTACATTGTGGATACATTTCTTAAAATTAGTTGTTTATTTATTTGATAATGTAAGTCGATTATTCAACTTCTTTATCACGGAAAACATTTCTTTTTAATTGTCGTTGTTGAATGACAACCCTAAATATTATTCGATTAAATAAAATGCACTTAAAATAATAAGAAACAGGAAGAACATTATTTGAGTCCTATTCCACTGAGGTTAGTGATTCTTAATTTATAGTTCTATATCAAGGGGAAGTACTTTGGAGACTTTAGATTTAAGGTTCACAAAAATAACTAACTATTCTTATCTGATGAATTCATGTTCCGTTTAATCTCTAAAGCTAATTTGTACCCAAGTTCTGGCCTACGGTCTCGTCCTTCGACCATTGCTTTTACTTGGCTTGAGTTAACTATTACGCCATTACTAGCAATTACAGTTGCCTTTGTTTTTTCTATGTCCACAAGATCAACACCACGACTACAGTCATCAATTAGAATTGTACGATAACCGCTGGTGAGTGCATCTACAGCAGTGGCACCAACGCATACATCATATGCTAAGCCACATATGTATATATCTGTTGCACCTTGAGTTTGCAACTGCGAGGCTAATGTTGTTTCAGTCAACTTTTTATTGTCCCAAAAAACGGAATATGAATCAACTTCTGGATTGGTTCCTTTGTAAATCTTAACAGCATTGTCTAAGATCTTTAAATCCTTGTGAAGTTCTGCACCCCAGGAATCTTGAACGCAATGACGTGGCCATAAACGCTGTTTTAATAATGGTGGCCCTTTGAATGTCACTGTATCATATACACGTGCTGCTTCCTTTGGAATTCCACTTGTAGAGTCCACTTCCCTAAAAAAATATTGCTTTTAGAAAAACTTATTACTGCTTATCATAAAGTAAAAAATCAAGATCATGAATAATCTCTTACCGCAGATGTAAATTGTCAATAAATGAAACATGATCAATAGGATGCCAATCCAAGGAATAAAACACTGCATCAAATGGAACTGATTCCAATAGTCGGTTAATAGGTTCGATTACTTCAGACCCATCGTGCTGGGCTGCACATTGTTTAATGTTTAATGATCCAGATATAAAATCATTTTGCACATCAACAACAAGAAAGGCACTTTTTGGTCTTGTACAAACTTTTATCCATCGATTCCAGCAAACCTTATTGGAATATTTCTTATTTTTTAAATTTATTGTTTATAATACATTAAAATAAAGAGTGCACATACTTAACATACCTCAAATTCGTCCTTATCAAGAAACCCATCTTCCTTAATATCAAATATTGAGAAGATCTCTCTTAATTGATTGTCTTCAAGACCATAAATTTTGCCTCTATCATTACGAAAAAGAGCACGGCAAATAAGCTCAAATTCTGTGATTGACAAAAATCCGTCCCCGTCTTTATCAAAGGTGGTGAAACAAGCGTCCATGATTTTTCACTGAAAATAGTCGTTTCCAGGTGCTTTGTTTAATCAATACTCATGTCTTTACACGTGATCACCTGTCTTGTAACTTATTGTGTTCGAAGAAACTTTAACTATCTATAAACTCCTGCAGTTTGAAGTAGATTCATTACATCGTGAATGTGTACAATATGTGTCCATGTTTAAAAGTTACATGTATCAATACATCATACTTGACACCCTGTACATTCATAAGTTATTATTCATTGTATAGAACAAATACAGTCTTTCTATCATGGGCATCGCATTTTATTTTTCGTCAAATTAACATTATTGTTTATTAGAAAATATTATGATTTTCACAATTGCTTCCGTACAATTGATCACTTAATACTATTGACATAATCTCTGATGTGCCATTAATGCTACATCAACCATAACTTCGGGATGTAAAAGTTCATTCACTTTATATTTCATTGATTCTTCATATGCATATGTCACTGATGTATCTGTTAGAAGTACGTTTGACTGAACCAAGATCAAAATGCAGTTACGCAATCGTGCACATACTTGTCTATCTTCCAAATCCACACGGGACAAATCTTGAGTAAAGCCACCTTCTGAACGGTCTGTATCTAGTGTGCAAGCACCGATCCATATGTATCCATTATTCCCTAATATAAGGCTTGCTACATTGGATAAATTATGAAAATGAGTCTTTTTCCGTTTAATTAAAGCATGCGGAACTTTAAGCATAATTCCTTGCGACAATTTGCCATATTTTAAAACTCTTGTGTGTAATGACAAGGACCCATCAGCAAAAGTACTCTGTACTTCTGCGCAAATGACATCATTTTCTTGCAAGTAGCGACGCATTGTTTGCTCATCCTCAGCTGATCTTCTTCTCTATAAAACAATAAAAATAAATTCCAATATTCTACATCTTAACATATTCGCGACCGGCAAATTTTTTCCGTTTAAAATACTGAGTACCAGTGAAAATAATAAAATTCTGAAACTGGTTGGCACAAACTTGTATCATGCACCGTTATGGACGTGATTCACGTCAGCGGCAGTCAGGATTAGAATTTAAAATGACGTGAATTCACGTCAGCGGTCGCGAATGTGTTAATAATAATTATTATACAGTCCAGTCACAAGTTGCTATTCAACATTCTGTATGTCTAATAATTTATACTATAGCATGGAATTAAACGGAAAATGTTATGTCACGGTATAACCATTAAGCTATTTAATATTTAAGATTGTCTTACCAATTCTCCACCTGGTAAGTTTACACTAGAAAGTAAAAGTACTGAATCCAACTTAGAATTGGTATCAACTTTCCATCTTTTTTGCTGAACTTCTGTAATTCGTCCAACAACAACATCTCCAATTTCTCCTTTATATCTTGACTTAAGAGGTCTTATTGTAATTAATTTATTCACTTTTTCCAAAATACCAGCTACAGAAGCTCTCAATTTATCGTCTTTATCGACATAAGTTCCATGACCTCTGTTAGAAGTAATTTTAATAAATAAAAAATGTTTACATAAAGAAGAAATAATAATGTAATTAGTATACTTATTAATGAATGTAATTGTCCGAACTTTACCTAAGAAAATCAGATTGACTTGCAATTTCTTGTCCTGGTGTATAAAATGTTTGTTGAGGACCTCCTACTGCTCCAGCATGGATATTTACATCAGTTCGATGAATGGCAAGTCGCATAACAATAGGTGGATCATCTCCTTCCATTTATTACAAGTGTTTTTCTTCGAAAAAATCTGTAAAAATTTCAAATTTTAACAAAGAATTTGAATAAAACTGACACATCTTTATTCGACTATTATTATAATCACCACGTGTTTTGGATCGAACAGGATCATGGACGTAAGAATATGTAGATAGAGTCCAAGTCAGTGGGACGCACAGATTTGTATGTACACTGGACTCCATCGATGGCTTGCACCTGGTCCGCACTGCCCTCTCCGGCCGCGCAGCGTACTAGCGGCGGGAGCAGCGCGGAAT